GTTAGAATAATCAAGTTGAGTTAAACTTGTGATTATTCGAATTAATCAAAAAAAATATTGTGGTTGTAAAAAGTTGTTCCTAGTTAGAATAATCAAGTTGAGTTAAACCTGTGATTATTCGAATTAATCAAAAAAAATATTGTGGTTGTAAAAAGTTGTGTTTGTTTGTTTGTTTGTTTGTTTGTTTGTTTGTTTGTTTGTTTACATTAACAATTGAATCGAAATAAAACGAGTATTAAATTATTAATCGATTTAAACATACATTAAGGTAGTGTTTGCAAATGATTATTTAAAAGCAGAAGTTAGTGATTGTGATTTAAGTTAGTTTTAAGTGCTTATTTCCAAAAGTTGGAGGTGTTTGCAAATATTCCAGAAAATGAACTTACATAGAAAAAACAGGGTTATAGGTGCTTTTAAAAAAATAGCTTAAAGCAGATTATTTTAAGAGAAGCAAAAGCAAAAGTTAATTTTGCAAACACCTAAAAACAAATTATGAACAAAAAAAATCGCATAATCACTTTCAAAAATCATTTGCAACCGCCACCTTAGTTTTACATACAAAAAATAATGTGTAGACAAGACCAACTAAAACTAATGTAAAAATCCAAAAGAAATTGCCAACAATTTTACCGGTAATAAATCTGGCGTGTCGGTGCCGACAATCATGGCTACCGACAGTGTCACCGGGTGCATCAGGTGGCGAGGCTTGACACGTCAAATCGCAACCGCAAGAGCAGGTAAACTCACGGGGGGGTGGGGGGTGCGCGTGGGTTGGGGTGGTTACACATTAACCCATGCATACGAGGTCCTTTCACGGCGTCGGCGGCGGTAATAACTAATAACAAATAAAATAATAAATATTGTCGTGACACCGTAACGTTAACGGCTTTCCGTTGCTTCTCACTCTTTCTGCACAAAGTACAACCCATATATTTCTATGTACTCTTTAATTTTGGTGATTGGTATCGAGATTAATTGCATATTAGCTAGGATCTGTACTAATATCATGTATACTGTAGAACTTCGATAAATTAATAATTTCATTTAAATAATATGTTCTTTCAATTCCAATTTGAAGTTAACGTGTTAAAAATTATTTTGCTAAATTAATAGAATTTGACTGGTCCCGACTATATTAATTTATATAGGTTTAACTGTATACTTATATATATTTTTTAGATGAATAAATTAATATTTTTTTATCATATACTATATTATAATATATATATATATATATATATATATATATATATATATATATATATATATATATATATATATATATTTTAATAAGTTTCGATGATGTAACGACTTTTAATTAATGATTTTATGATCCCAATGTTATTAATTATAATAGCGATTTTAATGTATGTAATTTTGTTTATTATTAAAAGTTAAATTAAATTATTAGTTAGTAATTACTCCCTCTATTCTATAATAACGGTCTATTTCTAAAAATATTTCGTTCTATATTATCTGTCACTTTAACTTTTCAATACTGCATTAACTATTTAATTTCTAGTTTATATCCTTATTGACTCTTTTTAATACGTTTTTTTAATTCATTTCTCTATCTTATTAATTATAAGATAAAGTCATTTTAGTCTAAAAGCATACATTTTTCATAAAATCAAAACACATTTAATAAAATCCTTAATCCGTGTGCAAAGCTAAGAACGGGACGGAGGGAGTATGTTTATATATATATATATATATATATATATATATATATATATATATATATATATATATATATATATATATATATATATATATATATATATATATATATATATATATATATATATATATATATATACATATTTATTCATTTACTCAATATTTAAACTTTTTTCTCATATATATTTTCCACTCACGCAAGATCAAATTTGAAATGTCAATATGAACACCCTAGTCAATTGAGTTGGGGTTATGCGAATAGTTCATCCCATTTTCATTTAAGGTGAGTTCGATTTCGATTTTCATTTAAGTTGGTTTCTATTTCGGTTTCGGGTCAGTTTCAACTTCTATTTCAATTTTCGGGTCAGTTTCATTTTGATTTCTATTTCGATTTTCGGGTTTTGATTCTGTAGTTAATTGTGAAACACTCCGAACTTGAGCCATTATGTTAAACTCAAAAAAAGTGTGAACCTATATATGTTAATTTGTCAACTTCTTCTGTCACTAAATTTGCAATTTAAAAAAATAAAGAATGGATTTTCAAAGATTACATATTCTACTGTCAAAATCTCCCCTCAAACCCCCGGGCTACAATTTTCTAAGCTCACCACATACATGCATGATTTTATATATATATATGTTAAAATTTATTGATAATTGGCAACATTCAAAACTTTAGTGCTTTATATTCCCTAAGTTCTAAAATAGATATTTGTTTGTTGCGGTACGGAAATTAAATCAGACGAATCAAATCGGAATTAAACTTAGAAAGAATTGAGGTTAAATAAAATAAGATTTCAGGCCAAATGCACTAGTAATTTCTTAGTCCAATATTTAGAACTAAATAAGTCATTTTGTAACAACCTTCGATTTATTAAAAGAAAAAAAAAAAAAAAAAGGTCTGACAACGTTCTCCTCACGTTGGTTCACATCTTTGAAGGTCCCACGTGGCACGTGCCTCCATTCATGGCTTATTTATTTATTGTTTTTCCTAATTTGAATATTGATATCAAATTTTGGAGTAATTATTGTTAATGTTCGAACTACGCCCAACAATACTCTTCTCTAGCCCAATTAAAAATGCAACTCTAGCCCAATAAAACATATAGGCCTAATATTGAAAATATATAACTCGCAAGTCTCAGTGTCACACGGGATGTAAATAAACCGAGTCGAACCGAATATATGCTTGTTCAAACTGAAATGATTTTTACGGTACTAAAATTGAGAATACCTTTTATTCACCCGACTTGATTCTTTCTCTAAACTCACCCAAACCCTCGAAACCCCCCTAAACCCCCTCAAAGCTTCTCTCAAATCATCTAGAATCTACAATAATAAGAATTATCGGGTTTTTTTCCGCACTTGTGCGGTATACACACCCAAAATGGGCATCGGGTGGAGAAGCGCTCGACCAAGTTGGGCGCGGATCGTGGGGCTGGACGACCAGTTCATACGTGAAACTGGTGTTTTCACGCCCAGACCAAGTGCGTAAACACCCGGCCGGTTCCACGTTTGGACATGTCGGCCAGTTCGGTTCAGTAGTTGTAGTAGTAGTAGTTAGGGCTGGGCATGGATCGGTTTTATCGGCCAACTGACTCACTTTCGCCTGCTTTTTTCGACCGATAATTTTGTTGTCAAGCTGATAATTTTAACCGACCCATATATGAATGGGTCGGTCGGTGGTTTTCAATTTACTCAAAAGTCGGTTGGTCGCATAATATCGGCCAACCGACTTTTCTAATGTTTAAAATAATATATAAAATAAGTAAAAACTCAAAAATTCAAAACACAAATTTATAAACCTCTCCATACTATTTCTTTATAATTCTTATTCATATTTTTCATTACATATTTACTTATTGTTGAAGCTTAATAATAAAAATACTTTTAAAGTTAAGATTTTTACTAACATAATTTTCTCAAATTTTTGAATATCTTTTGAAAAAAACTTTTAAAAATATCTTATTATTGTAAAAAAACAATAAATAGATGGCCGATAATACCAACCAACCTGTTGGCCGAAAACCTACACGCAAGTGCACGTATCGTACAAGTAATATAGTGGACAATTAAGTCCGGATATCGAACCCACAGGGAATATTTAATTATCTAATCCTTTACACTAAATTCTACCAATTATTATCAAGCCCACCCTACACAGTCGAATTTTAGAGAGAATTAACTAAATTAAACTAAATTAAAAGCAAGCAAAAACAAGAAAGCAATTTAAAACGAAGATTTAATCAAAGTAAACAAGCATATGGTTTTATTCTTCCCCCTATGTGATTATTATTTCCCCAATTCCTTCAATTATGCAAGCAATTAACCCGGATTATTAACCTGAGATGCTAAAATAATCATAACCCGCTTCCGCGTGTATTACGTTCTAATACTCTAGATTCAATTACTATATTCCTATGCAATTAATTCTAGAACACAGCATGAAGCACAAATCTCAATAATGGCTACCTAAGAGATTAACTATATTCCTATGTTAATACCACAAAGGCTCTTCTACCACAGTTCTAATTATTAACCCGATCTTCCGATTCATGCGATTAACAATAACATAAAAGCACATAAGGTGATCAAGTTCATGCACTTAATAAAACAAGTAGAAGAAATAATCCGGAATTAAAACTTGCATAAAATCATAGAATTGGGTTCATAAATCCCACATAGGGTTCCAAATAAAATCCTAGAAATAAAGACTTAGCTACTCGTAATTCTTATGATAAATAAAATAAAATAAATAAATTAAATAAGAAAAACTATGCTTGAATCTTCGTTGATCTTCTTTGCTCTTGAATTTGCGTAAAAAGATTGATCCCTAATTGTGTGCTTGACTTGGTCTTCTATAGGGTGAAGAACTTGGGGAAGAAGGCAGTTTCCTTGTGCAATTAAAATCCCTTTTCCGCGCAACTTCGGAGTCTCGGACGGGGGTCCCACAACTTGCACTAAAACTGGGACGGGGTCTCAGCATTAAATCTTCAAAAATTTGATTTTTTCACTTTTGGCCCATATTTTCGCCAAAATTGCAGTTTTGACCCCATACTTTTCCAATTCTTCAATTTGTACCTAAAATACAATAAATCAACTTTTTAAGCACCAATTATCGTTAAAACACACCAAAAGCTCAAATAAAAAGATACGATAAAGTGTAAAAATATACACTTAACACAACCGGTAATGATTTTCAATTTTCAGCAAAATTGGGTGGTCGAGTCCAATAGATAATTGGTCGATAATTGCCCAGCTCTACTAGTTGTTGATTTTTATTTTTATTTTTTAATCATCATAATTCTTATTATTCTTATTCTTCTTATTATTATTGTTATTATTATTATTTTTATTAACTCTGAAAGGACTACATACAGCAAAGAATGATACATAAATTATATATAAACATAAACTTCAATTACAAAAAATAAAAATCTTCATCCTCCACTATAAAAAGCACATTCAAAAACCTCAAATTGATACATACATGAATCAACCTCAGATTTCTCCCATTACATCCTGAGAAAAACCTCAGCTCTTTTCCTAGTACTTTGTCGTCTCGTCTTTAAATCTTATAACCTCATCGAATCGAGTCAGTAGAAACCGATTTCGACACGTCTAGAGAGTTCAAACGACACGTCCCGAGCAGAAACTCCGGCAGCTCTTCTGCCGTATTCCCCTGCAAAGTATAATAAACCAACATCGATAAGTGTTTCTAGAAACTTCCATTTTTTTTTCTTTTTTCGATAGAATATAATCATCACATTATATTTAAATTAATTAATTACCTGTATCAAGAATGCCATTTCTATGACAAGATTGTTAAGATATCCGAGGACAAGGCTAACTACACCCCTCGCCACCGTTGACGAGCCAACATCAATGCCGAGCTGTTCAATTATTATATTTTTTTTTCGGAAAATATATGAAGTTAATTATCGATTTTTTTTTAATTTTTTTAATTTTTTTTTAATTTTAATGTTACCTCCAAGTAGTTTTTCCCGCGGAAATAGTTGACTTCAAGTGCTTGACCAACCAAACAAGATTTCTTACCAACACTTTGCTTTACTATCCAAGATCCCTGCGAAATCCAATCAAATATATCGAAAAATGTTAGAAAATCGGATTGAATTATGCGGCTAAATAAATAAATAATACGCATGCGGACCTTTGAAATGTAGGGTATGAGCTTGAATCTCGAATTTCTAAAAGCATCGTCACCGTTGACAAAGCGCTCGAGCAAAGGCGTGTCTGCTAACGGAGTTTTTAGCATATAGTATAGGGCCAAATTGTATGTCGTTGCACCCGGAACCTGATTAATTTGCCATTTAATCACATGACTAATATTAATCCTAGATTAATCAAAGATTTAAAAAAAAATTATATGAAAATATATATATGATTTTTTTTTACCTGTATGTTAATGACGAAAAAGAATTCCGGCCCTCCACGAGCTGCGTATTTCTGTACATTATTTCACAACGAACTCGTCTAAGATTTTTTTTCCCACTAAAAAAGACTCGTTTGGGATGCAATGTGAATGATTTTTTACGAGAGTAGAAAATGCTACTAATTTTTTTAGGGGTGTAAAGTGCGAATATACGACATTTTAGGGGTACGGAAGTTAAATGTTTGAAAACCTGAACGATGCCTCCGTATCGACCGGCAAGATCATCCTCTCGTTTGTCCGATCTTAGCCAATCAGCAGCAACCATTTGCATTAAAGTGCCTTTTGCTTTGGTCTGAAAATCAGTAGATATACGGTAGAACTTCGATAAATTAATACTCAATAAATTAATAACCTCGCTTAAATAATATTTTCTTTCGGTCCCAACTAGGTAAAAACGTATTAAATTATTAGTTCGATAATTTAAAATTTTTTCGCTGAAATTAATAAAAAAATGTTAATCCCAACTGTATTAATTTAAAGAGGTTTAACTGTATAATGAATTTGTAAAAAAAACAAAAAAGCAAAGAAGAAGAGGGACCTTTTGATTGTCGACGAGATAATTTTCGGCACGGATAAGAAAGGAGGAAGGATCAGCTGCAGCCCAGCTACAAGGCATGTTGAAACTCGAATCTTTCGCGAGTGTCGATCCGTAACAACACGATACACTTTCTTCCCTCGATATTTCTTGCAAGTCCATGTAACCCTTTTTTTGTACTACAAACATTTAAAAACAAAATAAAAAAATAATTCAAGTCATCTCCTATGATCTTTTTTTTTTTTTAAATAAATAAGGTCTTGTTTGGTTGACAAGATAAGACGTGACGGTTAATTAAATAATAGGTAATTTATTATTTTGATGTATATGTTTAGTCGAATAACTCGTTGAATAGTGTATTCAGTAATCTTTATCCTAGCTAATCTTATCTTGAACACCAAACGAGGCCTTAGATTATCCATTTTCCATCATTTTAACCGTACACACACACACACACACACACTAACCTGCAAGTCCATGCAATTTTTTCACGAAGTTGGCAGCGGATGATAATTTCGGCTGGTACATTTCCTGCGTATTTAATGTCGATCGCCACATTAGATTAAAAAAAAATAAAAAAAATAAAAAATATTGACAACAAGTTAAGAAAAAAAAAATTAATTTTTTTTTACCACATAAGATAAGTCGGAGGTCGTGTTAGAATGCCACGCGTTCTCAAACGCCTCGTCATCGGAAGGTTCCGGAACATCGAAGAACTCATCGGCCGCATCACTTAGCGCAGTGAGACTCGAAGGAGTCGCGGAGTGCTGCGGTCTCGAAGACTCGTCTTCTGCCGTTTCATTCGATACCACCCTTTTGCAGTTAACTTCCGTTTTTATTTCCTCCTTTTCGTTTTCGGGAGCAACACCTATATCTATCGAAAGCTCGCCCGATAAATACTCGTTGCTCATATTTCCGCATTTCGCTCTGAAAAACTCCGCCAGCGCTGGAAAAAAAAGGGTCGTCGATTTTTTTTTTTTTTGGAGAATTTAAGTTCGTTAGGAAAAAAACAAAAAATGGAATTTAATACCGGCAACTTTTCCGAGCATGCAGATTGTAATCGATCTCGAAGACGATTTTTTAAGGTACGATTTCCAGAACTTCCAATCGACGGCGAGCATGTGTTTTATTACGCAATCTTTACCTTGTTGTGAAGGAGAGATTACATATCCACCACCTACACATGCAATCAATTAGAAATTCCGTATTTTTTGTATATGTTTAATTAATTAAGCACAATCTATCGAGTTTCGGAAGAGGAGTCGTAATCTTCGTTTATTGAACTTTCAATATTCGTTATAGGGGGCCCGTGACCCCCCATTGGCTCTGTGCTGACTCCGCCACTGAAATTATTGACGTGGAAATACATTTAAAATATTTTAAAGACAAAGCGCGCATATATTACTTTTAAGGCACGCGCGAACGTATCCGTCTTGGGGTGGACACTTTCGGTGGAAAACGGAATGGTAGAGAATCACTGCAATGAAAAAAAAAATATTATACAATATTGCATACAAGATTAAAAAATCAAGAATCGTCGAATTTTACGGTACGTTTGAGTACAAATAAAAAAAAAGTTACCGTATGTGCCGTCATTTTCTCTTCTCCAATAACGCCTCAACAACAAGTCTCTTCGTTGCATCGCCCTGCAAAAAAAAAAAAAACCGATTAAAATAATTTATAAAAAATAAAATAAAAATATAAGCTTAAGTTGTGATAATTCTAACCATGGTAGCCAATGATTATATAATTGAATGTGGATTATATCTGTATGTCCATCAAGATGCTCAACTACGCTGCCTCGATAGAAACAGAAATCCCACCTGCAAAATAATCGATATTCGACAAAATTAATTCGAAAAGTCGAATATTTTTTAAGACCTACATATATGAATATATTTATAGCAACCTTAAATATTTTTGGAAATGTAGTATAATATAGTACGGCATACTTACTCAGTCCTCGAGGCACCAAGAGACATAAGGGTACGGAAAACTGTCTCCGAAGCTCCATTAATTACACCGACTGCCATTATCGCCGGGTGATCATCCCAATGCTAATTAAAAAATAAAAAAATAAAAATAAATAATTCATCAATTTATTTTACTAAAAATAATAATATTAAGCTATAAATGAGTTGAGTGAAAGAAATATACCCTCCCATTGGAATCTCGATCTTTTGCTTCTTTAAAGAGACGCAATCCTACATATCGGCAAACGAAATATGGAAACGATCGAATATAGTTTCGATTAAAAAAAATAAAATAAAAGATCAATTATCGGGGCGAATTATTTACCGTTTTGACAACCAAATATTTTCCAAGGCGAAGGTGCGATTACGTCGGATGTCATTGCATTCACATGCGTAAATGTGGCGGTCCAATCTATTGACCTTTTCGCTATTCTCTTCGAAACACTCATGCTGTTAGATAAAATCATAAATAAAAATAAATTAGTAAATTAATAGAAAGTGTAACATTTTCGATTTTAGAAAATCAAGAATCATTTTCGATTTTTTAAAAGTCGAAAGTGTTGTACATTCACCTGAAAGGCTGCCATTTTCTTTCGGAACAAGACATGACATCTTTTACGGGGTTAAGTGCAGCTTCTTGTAAAGAGTTAATCCATCGAGCCGCTTCTTCGGAACTCGTCACACCGAGCTATAAAATTTTAAATTACACATTAATAATATTTATGAAAAAATAGATTTTTTTTTTTGAATTAAAAAAAAAAAAAAGAAAGTCGGGTACCTTTAGCTGATCATTGTGATTAGAGGTATTGTAAAGTGTAAAGATGAAAAATAACTGCAAGTCGCAAGAAGAAAAACCCGTATTAGCGTGTAAACATGCAACGAATATTTGTTTTGATTTATTTAAAAAAAAAATTGTTTCGAACATAAATTTCGTTTGTACGATACGTACTTTTCTACTATGGCTCTCTCTTCCATTGTCCACGACACGAATACACGAGTCAATTATCGCACTCCTCAAAGGCTCCTGCGCGAGAACACGGTCAAATCAAGTTCAGAACAAAACGAATGATTAAAAAAAATCAAGAATTTATGATTCGACGATTAAAATGATTTTTATAAATTCAATTTAATTAGTACCATAAATCGACAATTACTCAACCACACAACCGCATTTAGAAACGACACGTGAAGAAATCCATTTCTCGACTCGAAAAACAACCCACCCCAAATTTATTCCCATGATCAAGACACACATCATCATATATACGTGTATATATATATATATATATACACACATATATATCTATACATGCACGCCGCCGTATATACATCACACACAAAATATACATTAAAAAAAATACATTACGCATAAAAAAAGACGGCCCGAGAAACCGGGGGCCGCCCCCTGACCCTGCCCCCCTTTACCTATTACAACATCAAGTTTCATACGCAAAATCAAATCTTATTCGAATTTTATTTTCCAACCATATCATACGAGTCGACAAAATACGCATTTAGAAAATGATTAAAAAAATCAAGAATTTATAATTCGAAGATTAAAGGATTTTCATAAATTCAATTTAATTCGCAACAGAAATCGACAATTACTCAACCACACAACCGCATTTAGAAATGACACGCCAAGAAATCCATTTCTCGACTCGAAAAACAACCCACCCCAAATTTATTCCCACGATCAAGACACACATCATCATATATACGTATATATATACATGCACGCCGTATATTCATCACGCATAAAAAAAAGACGGCCCGAGAAACGGGAGGCCGCCCCCCGTCCTCCGACTTCCCCCCCTCTACAACATCAAGTTTCATACGTAAAATCGAATCTTATTCGATTTTTTTTCTTCCAACCCTACCATACAAGCCGAAAAATACGACATTTTGCATGCGACGAAATACGAAAAAAAAAACGACAAATTAAATTAAAAAAAAAAAGTGCACCTCAGAATCCGAAGAGGGGATTGATTTGAAGCTCTTGAGGCAATTGTCTTCAAGAATGAAATACCTTTTACGTGAATACTGAAGCCCAAATCTGTAATAACGAATCAAATAAAGCCACCCTCTCATTTTTCCCTCGCTTTCCGCCATAACCATATTATTATCGGATCACAAAAATAAATAAAATATTATATTTTTTTATAAAAATTGAAAAATAAAAATCCAATCTTTATCGAAATTTTGAATTCGCCTATCTCTCTCCTTTATTTATTCAAAAGCCCACTTCAAGAAATGTTCGTACCCAGTACAAACACATTTACACAGAAAACAAATGTGTGTAAATGTGCTTGTAATAACGAAAAAAAGAAGAGATTTTTATTATTTATTTATTTTATTTATTAATTGATAAAGATTGGGTGAAGGTGGGAAGAGAGATTTGATGAATGATTGATCCTCTGATCCCACGAAAGGGAATCAGAGAATCGATTAAGAACTTCAGAATTTTTATTCAAAGCTTTCTCGCAAACTGCAAATTTTTTATCAAACTTTTTTTTTTCTTTTTTTTCTCAAAAAAATATATAATGTGTTTTTTTTTTCTTGTTTCTTTCTCTTCCCCCGTTGGAATAAAATTTGATGGTGGTGTTTATAGGGAAGTTGAGGGCTTCTTTGTGAAATTACTATTTTGCCCTTGGTCTACGTTCTTTGGTGCTTTTGACGATTGGCCCAATTTTGTCTTTTTCTTTACTTTTTGGTTCCACTGATTTTATGCCAATAATAAATTTAGTTATAATAATTTAAAAAATAATTAATTAATTTTTATTTTGAGAAAATAAGGTTTGTGGCACTTCGTTTTTGTAGGGGAGTCAATATTATTGTTTTATAGATGGGGGTGGGTATGATTTGTAATTAATCTACACCGCTAGTTTATACAAATTTCTCGATTATTTATTGATTTCTATTTTTATTTAAAAAGAAAAAAAAAAAAAAAACTAATTTACTAGTTCTTTTCGAAATAGTGAAAATAATTAATTTGCATGATTTTGTGTATGTGAGTGTGTAAGTTAATTTGTGAAGTGTGCTTTTTAAGGCCAATAATTTGTTAAGTGGCTAACTCCAATGGATGAATAAATGGAGGGTTAAATACTATTTTACTTCCTGTAGTTTGAATTTTGTACATACGACTCTCTTGTATTTTAATATAGGCTCATAAACTCATTGTACTTTCAAAATTTTCTCTTTCTAATAAGTATGATTATTTATCAAGTGACATACCATAGGGGGCTATTTACTTATATTAAAAGTATAAGGAGGTCATGTACACAAAATTCAAACTACAGAGAATTATGTGCTTATATTGAAAGTACAAGGGAATTATGTGCACAAACTCAAACTAAAATATCAACTACCTAAATAACCTATAGTGAATTAACATGAGTCAATTTTGAATAGTTTTATAATTCATTTAATCCTTGTGGTTGATAGGTATCAAAGCTAGCATATTTGATGATAATATTTTGCCTTCGGAGTCGCTCTTATTAAGTAATTTTACTATCTAAGTTATTTTGGTCACGACTTTATGATATGAACTTCGATTGCAGCCATTACGATGCCCAGTAAATTTTCGAAATACAGTCGTTAAGAAATATATTATCTTGTAAGATTATGTCTTGTAAAAACATAATTTGTTTTATATTAAAGGACAAATTAAAATCACCTCACTGAGGTAAGATCAAATTACAAAAACACTCCCATTGTTCGAGTAATTACAATTCACCCGTCAACTATGCATTGTCTTTCAAAAAGTCCCCTCATTCAATAGGTAAATTTGACACTGTACGCACTGGACTATGCTGCACGGACACGGATACACAGACACGTTGATACACGGATACGGGCACAGCGATACGGCATTTTTAAAAAACTAGGATACGCATAAATATAAAAAATATAGGGGTATATTTATAAATTATAAAAATATAGGGGTACATTTATAAATTATAAAAAAATATTTATAAGTAGCCAAATCGCATAAGAGGACCGCTTGCCCTTGCAGCTCGTTTATCTTGGCCGCTGTCACCACTAGCCACTCTCCGTCGCCGCTAGAGTTTTGGACTTCTTACTGAACTCTCAAAGAAGAGAGAGGAAATGTGTACTACGGAGAAAAGAAAATGCATATTTTTTTTATTAGGGATTTCCCTAATAAGAGCCGTGTCCCAACCTTTTTTAAAATCAGAGACATTGTCCGACACGGGTGTCCTACTTTTTGTGAAATTACAACACAATCCAACACGGGTGTCCTACTTTTTGTAAAATTACGACACAGTCCAACACGGGTGTCCTACTTTTTGTGAAATTACGATACGGCCCAACACGGGTGACCGAGCCGTGTCCAAGTATCTAGGTGTCGGATAAGGGGACTCTTCACCTTCAAGAAGTATTCGTGCAGCATAACCACTAGACGTTTAAGACAATACATAGTTGAGTGATAGTAATTACCAATGTTCTTAAAACCGGACCGGACCGGCCGGTCCAACCGGTTCAACCGCGAACCGGTGACTGGTCCGGTCCGAGTCGACCTCAAAACCCATAAATGCAAAAAAACCGGGTCAACTGCTAATGAACCGGTTCAACCACGGTTGAACCGGCAAAAATCGGTAGAAACCGGCCCCAAAAACCGGATTTATGCAAAGGGAGAAACAAAAAAAGAAAAAAAAACCTACCTATAAACATAAACTGTAAATTCTTTACACTTCTCTTGGACTTTTGATTTGTTAGAGGTGGTTCCAGTAGAATATTAACACCACATGAATATAGATAATGTTTGTGAGGAGTTGGGGAAGGCAAAAAAGAGAAAAAAAAAAATTGGAAGTGGACAACATAGAGGTGGAAATTGAGGAAGGAGAGAGAGGGAGGCGGTGGGGCTGGGTAAATAATGGGTTTCTATACTTATATATTAGGGTTTGGGGGAGTAATTTAAATAGTATTAATTGTTGTTTAATGTTGTTTTATTACTTTGTATTAATATTTTTTTTTTTAATTTTTACTTTCTATTAATACTGAATACATATAAAATTACTATCTAAATGTATATATTCGTAAATAAAATAGAATTAGTAATTTATTGTTAGATATTTTATGTTTTTTCTTATAATATTTCAAAAATTTATATTCGTTAATTTTTAATGACATATGTAATGTCTAAATTATGCTATTAATGTTTCAAATTTTATTTCTATTTTCTTTACGCTTTAATTTTATTGTGAATAATTAATAAATTACTAAATTAGAGTTTTTGGTTGACATTTAATGAATAACATAATTATTGAATAAATATTTGTATAATAATCATCTTAAGATTTATATATTAAAAAATCAAAAAAAATATATAAAAACCCGGTCGGACCCCGGTTGAACTAGTTCAACCGTGACCCAGTAGGTTGTCCGGTTCTATGTCCGGTCCGGTTTTCAAAACATTGGTAATTACCCAAACATAAAAGGTTCTTTCGTAATTTGATCTTACAGGAAGGTGAACTGTAATTAACCCTATATATGAAAATAAGTCCCAAAATAGAAAAACTAAGGAGATTTTGTCACAAGAGTTAAAACTCTCTCTCCAATAATCAATAGTTAGTTCAACATACTTGCTGTTAAATACATATATAGGAGCAACAAAATCCCATAGCCAAAAATGTCTTTTAACAGTCTATATTTCCTTTTTCCTCTAGAGATTAAAAAGATTTAAAATCTCTAACTATAATGCGAAATTTGTAGTTTATGCCCTCGTTTGGCTTAATCCGCATCGAAAGTCCCCATCTACGTTTCTTGAACTTCAAAAGATGTCACCTATATGTATTTAGAATATCTGATTATTACAGTGAGACAAACTGAACGAGCTTCGATAACCACAAAAAAAATAAACGAAATCACTCAAACATGTTTTTATGCTTTACTGATTTAAAAAACGTAATTAAGAACATAATCATAATTATAATTCAAAGAACAAAACTTTTACCAGTAAGGTGAAGAAAAGGTACCTTGGCAAGAACCTTATAATTGTCGAGAATTTTCATTTTCGCAAGGAAAGATCAATGTGAAGGTAAACAAGGGAAGTGACGAAGAAGAGGAAAAATGCAGAAACTAGCATCAGGGGTTCGGCGAGCATAAATATCGGGTTGAATTTGTAGTGGACCTGCACGAGCGAATTGGAAATCATAAGCAACAAAAAAGAATGAAACCGTTAGAAATAGCTAAATGGAAAAACAGTGGTTTTACAGTTTAACTCTCGTTTAAAACAACAATGATTATGAACTAACGCATATTTATTCCGTAAACAGAGGTCATGTACTATTAATGAGAATTTCAATCACAATGCATGGAAATGTCGCTAGAAGAAACTATTCCGTTGTTGCCAGTTGGAAAGTACACAAGCGACAATCAAATTTACTGAAATGACGTGGTACCTGGAAAGGAACATTATGTTCAGGAGCTACGTTTTTCTTTTCCAGAACTACTACAGTCCGTCCAACGATATCAAGGTACGAGTACTTTGTCTGCAAAGAGCATTAACCGTAAAGCATTACAGTCTACATCGATGCATGAATTTCTTAACCAAATACAGAAAAGCAGCAATAGAAGGTAAACTATAAATGGTTTATTCGTAGTTTGAGAAGAAAAGGATCGTTCAAGGGAAAAAAAACATTAAATATCAGCGCCTAGATGTGTTTAACTGGATATCAACAAGCATTGGCAGTGGTGATACGATATTGAATAAAGACCTCTCTTATCGGTTTAATCAATCTTTAATTGTATACCTTTAAACTTTGCTCAACTGGGAAAGAAACTTTGACTGAAGGGTCCTTTGATCCCTCTGGTAGGACAACCTGAAAACGATACAGGTCTTATATGAGGTTCTCTTACTATTCTTGAAAATATAAATTTTAGCAAGAACCGTTCAAGTAACAGAAGCATAAAAAATACTGCAACATGTAATCGATAACATATACATACTTTGACTGTCAGCTTGTCAACTACAGTATCAGCAAAAGGGCAGCCAAAACTAAAATTCAGGTAACGAGCACCAGCAGCTGACTCAAAAAGGAAGTCCTGCAGTGGCACTGCATATCCGATGACAAAAGTCGCTTTCCAGCCTCCAAATAAAGGATAACGTGGCTCTATTAATAGCTCCGACTGCAAAAACGATGGATAAAAATCAAATATGCTTACTTTTCCTTTCTTTTAAATATTCACAACTATGACTACAAATCCCTAAGCACGAGCTGTAGTTGATGAGAAGATAAAATATCATTATTATACTCGTAAAAAAATTCAACAAATACGGCGGTATGTTCAATATTTTTCTTTTCGATCTCATATACACTTTTTTGTAGGATGCAGGTCTTAAATACTTGCATGTTAAACATACCTATGTAACTAGGAAGGAAAAAAAAATGACGAGTTAGTTCCTCAGAAGAATATGAATTAGAACACCAGCAGCGTGAAACAGGGTCCAGTCCTCCAATCTTATCTTGTTATTTTTAATAAACAGTGCCTGTGCGACAGTGTGAGAGTGAGAATTACCTTCTTGGAATTTGTGCGTAGACGTGATGATGATATATTCCCTATATCATCCCTGTAGTAGACAGAATGAACTCGTGGGGGTAGCTCTGCAAGAAGATGCTTGAAAGAAGAGACACCACTAGCAGTCGGCTTCGATTGGTACTCAACCCTGTAAAAAGAAATATAATAAGATTGACGAAATCCATTGTGTAGACATTGTGGCGGAAGCGAAAAGATAAATAAACAGGCCTCCACAATTTCTTTATTTTAAACGCCTCCTAATTTTCAGGAATTAGTCAGTGATGTTTTTTGCTGGTATTGAAAGGCAGGAAAAAAATGACTTCCTTTATTTTATACACGAACTTTGAAGTCGGCATTATTTTCAAACACTGACAAGACCAAAAAAAAAAAAACAGACTTTTGGTTAACTGTAAATTATATTTGCTTTAACAATACAAGGCATAAAACATGTTGCAAAACCTTATGAAACAAGAAGATCTTTTATCCTCAATATTTATCATCATCTTTTGACCACATGCTTGACTAGTAGGCTGCATACTTAAAACCACATTTAACTTAAACAACAAGCTACACCCAATGACTTAACTATTGGAAGATTCAAACTCAACCCTGTAAAAAGAAATCTTATAAGACTATACGAACTTTGCACTTAACATTATCATCAAAACACATATGAGACAGAAAAAAATATCTTCTGGTTAGCCATAAATTATACTTGCTTCTGAAAGCTAAGAATACAAAGCATATAACATGTATAAAACAAGTAAATATTTCTATCCTCAACATTAATCAACGTATTTTCTGTTACTTAAAACAAGCTACACAGAAAGACCTGCATAAATGAAAGATTCGAAAAAAAAATTGTTATGAAATTTTATGGTAAGCTGACCTTGAGAAAACACCTTTGTGCTTGGCACCAGCATTAGCTAACTTGTAATGCTCGGTCACTTGGACAGTCCCCCAATGAGAGATTTCGATTTCACGCTCAAGCTCTTCCACAACAGCAAATGGATGATTATTTTCGAAATGTATGACAATAGGAGAGTTCGAGTAAGGAGAGCGTTCCTCATACGGCCCATATCTCAGGTCAGAACCACTACGCTGGGCGGGTTCGACTTGTGTGAATGACTCGACCTTGTTCGATGGGATTTGGACAATTGTTGCCTGCTGTTTGATATGGTAAGGTGACAGTATAACTGCACTGTCATGGTAATAAACCAGTTGAGACTCTGACTGGCTTATCTCTACGGGGAAGGGTTCAAGAGAATGGGTCAAGATGTAGAGTATTTCTAGGGTGGTGGTTTCCCCCTTTGCTAATGGCTTCACCAACGATATAGCATAGTATTTGGTTTCGTTTGGCGAGTTGGGTAACTCGGTTGGGCTGACTTCGAGAGGGACGTATGACTTCTTCTTCTTCTTCCCGAAAGTTATGGCTGCTTTGACCAAAGATAGATGGTCGAACTGTGTTGGTGTGAATGCAAGAAGAACTTTTGATGCTGGAGCATCCTCAATATTTTCTACCTACACTAAGAAATTTGATTTCATGAATATATTCAATAAATTATACAGCTTCAGTTTGACATATATGAAAAAAATAAATCCAATTTAACAAATACACTTGCTCCAGCTTTGTATTTCAAAAAAAAAAAAGTTGTTCTACCCTCTCAATTCCTTTTCAAATACGGGTAAAATGTTGAGCCTTCACCAATACAATTATATTATATGTGCCGGATGCGTATCTCGTATATCCATTTACCCATTTCCGAAATTCACTAAACTAAACTGCATTTTAAGACAAACTACATGATTTGTAGCATCAGGCACTACGACCAATTTAACAGATATGTCTTGCCCCGGCTTCGTATTAAGGGAAATTTCCCCATCCACTCAATTCCCCTTCAAATACGGTAAAAATTGAGACTTCAGTCACTACAGTTATACGTGCCACGTGCATTTCTCATATATCCCTTTACCAAGTTCCAAATACACTAAACTAAGCAAAATTGCATTTCAAATTTGAGATCAAATTCACTATCAATCATCTTAATAGAAATTGATAATTCGACCTGTATTTTTTTTTTTTTTTTTGCCCAATCACAATCAAAACTCTATTACTGATAAATCTTTTCTCATCAAAGGAAACAGCTAAAAAAAATTAAATAAATAAAGAACAAATGACACATGGTTAAGCAAATCAATTAAACAAATAAATCATCATTCTGATTTGATCTAATCATCCATCTTAATCAGAGCAGAGAAAGAATTCAAAAAAGAAATTACCTTCAATGTCAAGTAAACCCTAACAATGTGCGAAGACAAATCAATCTGCACCAAATCCAATTGCAGACGAGTTAACAAAGACGAAACATCATATCAAATTAAATATACAAAAAAAAAAAAACACACATTTCCGAAACAGAATCAAAATCTGAGAATTCCGAAACAAACAACAGTAATTCGGATCGGAGAAAGGAGAATTTACTTGACGCTCGGCGTGGAGGATCTGGAGGCCGGGTAGTGACGACGAAGACGACGACGTCGTTTGGATGATGAACAGAGAAATGAAGAAAATGAAGAGAGAGAAAATTGCAGCTGCCATTACCGTAAAGCTTAATTAGTCTCTCTCTCTAGACAGTGATGAGTAGAGTCGTCTTTTATGCAGCAGTCAACTGGTTCGGATCTAAACTCGGGTCAACGTTGCCCGGTTCATATAAATCGGGTCCTGTATATGGGTCGAGTTTTACTTGGATACTTATATAAATCTAAGCCCAATTAATGGCCCATCAATAAGTCCACGTGGAATTGCAAAAATAGCAACTATGCTCATGAGATTAATGCCCCGTTTGGCTAAGTTTATAAAATCCATGATGTCAAAACCAAACCGGTTGCGGACACGAACGACCACTTGGGCCATGGTTTGAATACGGCCGAACCGGTACAACCGGATTTTTTTTTATTTAATCTATTTTATTATTGTACTTATTTTATTTTTTCTCCTATTATTATTTATTTTCACTTTTATCCATCCTCATCCTATATTTCTTTTGTTTTTATTATATATATGTTTTCATTCTTTCTTCTCCAAATCTGACAATCCGTCACCCCTGTTAGACCACCCATGACTGTATCCGACAAACCGTATGTTAAAATATTATATTTATTGTTTAGTTAATTAAATGATTAATATTAGTTTAGTAAAATAATTAAAATATTAGATCTTTCAGTTTCTCAAATCACGAAGATGGGAAAGTACGTCTTATTTGGTCCAGATGATGTGATAGTTCTTAGTAATGTGAAGAATATAGCAGTGAACGTTGTTCTGGCTGAAAGACTCTTTATTTGTATTGTCTTCAGGAGATGCTAAGAAAACAAGCCAAAGCGACAATGCAACAATTTGGCATGCTCGATTGGGTCATCTAGGCTACTAATTGTTGCAACACTATCACCCCTATTCGACCGCCCATGATCAGATCCGGTCTTCCACAACTAAATTTGCGAAGATCACTCGCTCAAATCTAACGATAAATAACCAACTCCGTCAGTTGTCTTGGGCTGTTTTAGCCGAAAATCGAGTTCTTCAACCTTTTTGCTGGTTCTCGAATTTTACCCAGTCAAAGGTTTTTGTCATTTGACCAAATTTGTAAAATTTCTAATTTTAGAGATCAGATCGGACCACCTCATTGCCAGGTCGTGGTCGAACCGGTCCGGTCCAATTCTAACAACATTGTCTGAAACACCTTATAAGATTCTATCAACATTATCTGAAACATCTTATAAGTCTTTACATCGACCTAAAGTTAATGAATTAAAGAAACATCTATTAAAATTCAAGTATTTAATTAATTATGATTCGTTCAATCAATCACGGGAGAACCAAATTTCAAAATAAATTTCCTATGGCTAGATCAATCGGGTGATCGGTTTATATTTTTAACACTGCTCTAGATAATACAAAACTATTAAAGTTCTGCCTTTTGAACTTTATTTATCTGTGGTACTTAGATATTATTTGAGTTTATTGCAATTACTACCCCTGTGAAAATCGCAACTGTGTGTTTGCCCCCTGTCATAAAAAAATTAGTAAATACCCCCTGTATATATTAGTCAAAGACAAAAAACCCCCTTATCGCAAATCGTGTGTCTCACTCGCGGTTTCTGCGATTTTTCTTCCTTTTGTTGTGTGAAATGACAGTACCGCCCCCAACTTCTTTTCTTTTTTTTTTTTTTTTTTTTTTTTTAAAGTATTAAGTATAAACCAAAAAAAATAAATCGAATAATATTTAATTTTCTCAAACTTTACCTTCACCGTTCTCCACCATCGTCCACGGCGGGGGACATCAAACCACCACCACTCCCCGCAGAATACACCACCCTCTCATAGCAGATCCCCTTGTGATTCCCTTTTCTTCTTCTTCGTCTCGTCTGTTTTCTTCTTCGTCTCGTCTGTTTTGATTCCCTTTTGCTCTGTTTTGTGTGCTTTTATTTTTTTTTGTTGTTGGTAACAAACGCCCCCCAACCCCCCACACCCATCATCATCTATCCATCTTCCAACCAAACCCCTGACTATTATTTATTATTTTATTATTTCTCCGTCCAGTTGATCTGTATCTGCCTCTCATATCGGCATTTTGAAGACGACCCAGAAAAAATTTTTTTTTTTTTTAATTCGCTCGTATACGATCAAGATTGAATTTTTATTCTCTCTCTCTCTCTATACTTCTTTCTCTCTCTAGGGTGGTGTAATCTGATTTTCGTCGATTCACCCGCATTTTCCCAGCCACACCACTGTTCGAAGAAATAGTACAGCACTACAACTCCTCGCCGCCGTAGGCGACGCGGAGAGGAGGAAATTCTGGTGAAAGTGGGAGGTGGAATGGGAGGCGGCAACGAGGTGAAGTTGGCGGTGGATGGGTGTCTGCGACGAGAAGAGTGGAGGAGACATGTTGTGGAAGGAAAGGGGTGGGTCCGGCGGAGGTGGCGGCGGGAAGAGGTGATGGCCGGAGGTGGTGGTGGGGGTTTGGTGGTGGTGGCGATTTCAATGGGGAATAAGAAGAATTTGGGGAAGACATGTTCTTCTCTCATTTTGGAGGCGGCGGCATAACCAGGTGATTGCCGCTGGTGCCACGGTGGTGGGAATTTGGTGGTGGTGGTGGTGATTTCAATGGGGAAGAAGAAATTTGGATTTTGTGGAAGACGATACTTTTTCCAAAATGCTGATTTCAGCTCCCACAATTTTACTAATATAATGTATTTTCTGAAAAATTATAATTCAGTCCCTAACTTATTATTTGATTAAGTTTCTACATTTTTTTAGTATTTCAATTTGGTCCCCAAGGTTTTTTGCAGAAACATCCTAAGGCTATTTTTGTCCTTTCACAATCGGTCAACGGGAAAAAGAGAAATGGGTCGAGTAAGCTATCTAAACATAAATACAGGGGGGTATTTGCTAATTTTTTTATGACAGGGGGAAACGCACAGTTGCGATTTTCACAGGGGTAGTAATTGCAATAAACTCTATTAATTATATTGTAAATATATGTATTACGGAAGTTAAGAAAAAAAGAATATCATGTTTGGTGTAACAAGTATAAGGGTCAAACCCGTTCAATTCAGATTTAAATCGGAATGGTTTGTATTTAGTTGAGGCGTGTTGGAGATGATCGTAATTTTAAATATTCTTTCACAAGTCGGGTCTTGGATTTAAAGATTTGTTTTATATATGAACTAAGTACGAGTACCCCAAAGATTTACGAGGGGTTACGCGTATGGATTCTTCGGGCTTGAAAGTTCGCCTTCGACCACTAAAAGATCTCGGTAAGAGGCTCATGCTACAGTTACTAAACGGTGACGGTTTTAATTCATTTTTAATAAAAAGAAATTGCTAGTTGTACCTATTTTTAGTACATATCACCCACAACCAAACAATTATAAGGAAAATAAATAGAATTAAACAAATTAAAATACCCTCATTTCAAAAGAGAGGTCACAAAAGGATCACCTTGTTCCATGCAATTCTCCAAACCATTATTAACACCACATATGTGTATGTATATATATATATATATACATATATTCCTAATAAAAAAATGGTCCATTGTTGTTATTCATCATCAACCTCAGCATTCTCATTATTAATTAGAGGCTACTAAAAATATCTAACAAGGAAAAAAAAACAAAAAAAAAAAAAAAAACAAAAAAGAAAAAAAAGGAAGGAAAGAAGGGAAGAATGGTTGACAAGAAAATTGCAGCTTATCTGGTATTACTATGGGCAATGGCAATCGTATTCGGGGCCCACACGAGCGGAGCGTTAAACGATTGCGAGCAACACTGCATGCCGGTATGTATGGAGATAAAGGGAGCGACGGTCGCTGGTTGTGGGACCGCATGCGGTCAGTACTGCCAACAAGTTCAAGGAAAGATCCACCCTGGTTGGTATAATTAATTAGCTAGTCATATTTATTTATATCTACAGATTTCGTTAGAATGTTATATGTATTCGATCGTATAATTGCTTTTTGTTCTTCAATATTAGCACCAGATTGTTTAAGTCTCGATTCTTCCTCGAATTATTATTTATTTACGACAATTTACGATGGCTTTTGGGGGGCTTTCGAATCTGAGAAAGTTTATTCGATCGTATAATTGCTTTTTGTTCTTCAATATTAGCACCAGATTGTTTAAGTCTCGATTCTTCCTCGAATTATTATTTATTTACGACAATTTACGATGGCTTTTGGGGGGCTTTCGAATCTGAGAAAGTTTATTCGATCGTATAATTGCTTTTTGTTCTTCAATATTAGCACCAGATTATTTAAGTCTCGATTCTTCCTCGAATTATTATTTATTTACGACAATTTACGATCGCTTTTGGGGGGCTTTCGAATCTGAGAAAGTTTTTTTAGGTTCCTTCAATTTTAGTTGATTAACCTTTATAATTAATAAACAATCCGAACTAATTAACAAAAAAAAAAAAAGATTCTATTAATTCAGCGAAATAATAAATTAGCGAACTAATAACTTAGTACGTTTTTATTGAATCGGAACCAGAGCAAATTATTAATTAAGCAAGGTTATTAATTTATCAAGGTTCTACTGAATTATTCGTTCAAATTCTCAATTGATTATATTTTAGGTCGCAATTCGCAGCCTTATGATGGGATCAAGTTATTGAACTTAAATGTGTTACTAGGTAATATATAAGTGGCTCAATTAAATCAATTCATATTAATATGGATTAAAAATACTCAATGACAATAATAAGATGAATTAATTATACAGTTTCACCTGATTATTCTTTGTTTATTGCTTTACACAACACAAATAATCACAATATCAAATTATCCTATTTTATTAATGCAATATCACAATAACTAATAATCCAAATCAACAAGAACTTTGCATACGGAGTTCATTTACATCACGTGAAATTAGATGTTACACTTAATTATTCACATCGGGTGAATTTCAATCATAGATAAGATTAAATAAATACTCAAAAAGCACACATACATATAGCTGTGTATGATTATGTGTGGATCTACGTTTAAATCCACCAAGCGCAAATAATCAGGTGCAACATCTAATTACTCGTATTCATCGATCATCACTCATTGAAATTCACATGCTCCTCACACAAAATAGATGAACATTAAATCTTTACCAAGCTTGTATATTTGACCAAATGTATATTCATTTGACCATACGCATACACTTTTTTTTTTTTTTTTTACAAATCAAGAATATATAGATTACATATTGACTAAGATCTAATTTTGAATACTATCTTAGTAAAGTAACGTACAATCAAAATAATGTAATAATGATCATATTATCACAATCTTTTATAAAATTCAAAGTCAATAAACAATATTCACATTGCACAAATTTATTACAATTTTACCAACATATGCTAGGGAACTAATTAATCTATAAATAAGACTAAAAAACACACATATATTTAAAAAGAAAAAAAAAATCCCTATACTATGGCGAAATATTTTTTAGTATTTTTCATCCTTTACGCGTGTTATTTTCGCGAAGGCAAAAGTTGTTTTCCGATCCCGAGGGTTCATGTTTATATTAGTAACGAATTTTCTCAGAGTTCCGACTCATTGTTAGTGCATTGCAAGTCGGACGATGACGACCTGGGAACTCATTCGCTTACAGTACATCAAGATTTTCATTTCGATTTCTGCGTAAAACCTTTCCGCACTTTATTCTATTGCTACCTCACGTGCGGTAAAAGGACGGCATCTTTCGATGTTTATAATGCAAAGTGGACTAGTATTCCGTGCCAGAGCCACAAAAATTGCGCTTACGTTGCGAACGAAAATGGTATTTATTTGGGGGATAAACTCTGGAGTAATTGGGTGGTGGGATAAAATTAATTGATGTTATAGTTGAATAAATTAAATATGTATTGGAATATATTCATGAAACAGAAATAAGTTGAATTTGCAAATGGCGTTTTTTTTTTTTAATTCAAGACTTCTATTATTAATTACGTGCAAAATTGGACATGAAAATTACTATTGGAATGGCATTTGGAATTATTGTGTTTAAATCAATTAATTTCTATACAAAATGTGTAATCGATGAATTTATTAATCTCGATAGTTCAATATTCAATTAATTGAGCCTATGTCGATTGATCCAGTTTATTATGCCTTCCAATACCAGTGTCTAGGGGCGGAACGGGAAAATTTCATTTAATCGTCAGTTTTTTATGAATAATATAACGGGGTAAATATTAATTTTTGGGGGGTGTATTTTGTAGAGTAACTTATAAAAGAAAGTGAAAAAGTGATATTTTGTAGAAATTTTATTCACAATGGTATAATTTTAACAATTAATGGTTTATATTGAAATAATAAACATGAAAAGGTAAAATATTAAAATTTAAATGAAAGTATGGAGAAAAAAAAAAAAAGTGAAGGTCAAAACTCATATTTAGAAAAGATTGGGGAGCCAAAACCTATATTTTATAAATATTAATTAAATTAGGGTAAATTACAACCATCCCTTGAGGTATGGTTAAGTTACCAAATCCCCCTCCTGTTTGGGTAATTACAACCACCGCCCTCAATTATAAATCTTCTTACACGTCCACCCTTTCGGTTTCAAATTTAGTGAAATCTTTGAGATTATATGGAATATTATCACTTTTGTACCCGTTTTATCCAATTCAAACTCCATATTTTGAAGCAAGATAATCATAATATGTGTTTTTTGGCTTGTATATATCAGATTGTGCTGCATCATAAACTGTATTTTTACACAAAACGAGTATAAACTATATCACATTCCACAAAATCTAGATGATTATGTTGAATTTAACACCATAAGGGTGGAGATGTAAGAAAAAATCATAGTTGAGGGGGTAGATGTAATTATCCAAACAAGAGGATTTTTTTCGTAAATTGATCATACCTCAGGGTGGTTGTAATTTACCCATTAAATTAACTATTTTTCATTCTAATATGTCCACGTGTTTGATTATCATTGGCGTCCCTCTTCTATGGTTTAAATTGGCATAGTAGCTCAAATTTGCCTCCTATTGTTTTTTTACACAATACAAATATCCTATTTCTTTTTATTAGATAAAATGAGAAATTTTATTAGGCTATATCAGCCAGCTATTGAAGAAGACACGAGTTAGTAACGTTACATGGTTCGTGGAAATAGCTAAAACGTGAGCGAGGCGATTACTTTGTCTATTCCCAAATGTAAACGTGCAAGAACTAAAGTAACAATTTTTTCGTTTGTTTATTTATTTAATTTAAATTTCTTTTTAAAAAAATTCAGTTCTTTTTTTCTTCTTTTTTTCCATAACCAACTAAAAAAATCCGAAATCAACTACAATTTCATTTTTTTTCATCAAATCGAAATCAACTATAAAATATCAAAAACCACTGCAAAATTATCGAAATCAACTATAAAATCGTAGTTGACTAATGAAATCAACTAAAACAGTAACAAAAACAATTATATTGCTGAAAGTAACACCCAACACAATTGCAACAAACAAACATCCTTTCATTCATTACCATATATAAATAATCACAATCAAATAATCATAATTCAATTATATGCACACACAAAATAGAATGAACATTAAATCTTTACCTAATATGTATACTCCACCGAATATATGTTGACTTGACCATCTATGAAATTTTTGACAGCTAACTCAAGGATGTCTAGATTAATACATTGACTAAAATTTAATTTTAATACTCTCTTACTAAATTAGTAGCAAACAATTAAAACAATTGAACAATAATAATATTATCATAATCTTCCATAAATTTTAAATTCAATAAACCATAGTCACATTGCACAATTCTATTACAATATTTGTCAACATATACTAGGAGAATAATTAATCTATAAATAGGACTCAAAAACACAATTAAATCTCTAAAAATCAATAAATAACCTAAGGATAGTATGGCCAAATTTATCTTATACTATATTTCATCCTTTTTACATGTTTGTTTGAAGAAGGCAAAAGTTGCTTTTTGGTCCCAAGAGTTCATGTTTCCATTACTAACCAACTTCCCCCGGATGCTGGACCGATTTCCGTGGTTTGCAAATCGAAGGATGACGACCTTGGAAATCATACGCTTACAGTAAATCAAGATTTTCATTTCGATTTCTGCGTAAAACCTTTCGTTACTTTATTCTATTGCTCCGTCAGATGGGGTAACAAGGTCGCGTCTTTTGACGTTTATAATGCAATGTGGTTAATTAGTCCATGTGAGAGCTACAAAAGTTGCAGATACTATGCAAATGACAAGGGTATTTTTTTAGGGAGTAAATTTTGGAATAATTGGTAGTGATAAAATAAAATAATAATTGATGTAATAGTTGAATAAGATAAAACCTCCTTCATATTTATTGGAAATATATTCATGAAATAAAAGGAGTTGTATAAGATAATGGGACATGAAATTACTTTTGAAATGACATTTGAAGTATTAATTTATCGAAGTTCTACTGTAGATAAATTTGTTATTCTTGATAATTTAATATTTGATTACTTTCTTCATAACAGCTCCTACATTTTAAATCACATTACATTTTCGATTGATGAGTGTTTACTTACGTTTGATTATCTTGCAATTAATTCAAGCAACCAGAATCAGAGGACTCAAAATGATAAAATAAAAATTGAATATAACCATATTTTTAAAATAAAAATAACACAATTTAATTTAACAATTAGAGTAAACACTTGGGCTAGACAAATAAAAATTGTATTATTTTAATTTTAATAAAGAAAAACCCTCAAGATTGAATTTATTGTTTATCAAAATACCCTCTGAATCCACCATTTAAGAAAAGGTATATTACAAGCACCCTCTGAGGTATGACCAAATTACGAAAAAAAAATTCTTCTGTTTGGATAATTACAATCACCGCCCTCAACTATAATTTTTTTACATGTCCACCATTGCGGTGTTAAAATTATTGGAATCTTCTAGATTAGATGGAATATTCTCAATTTTGTACCCGTTTTATCCTATTCGAGCTCTAAATTTTGAATCAAGATGATCATAAGATATGTTTTTTAGCTTGTATATATCAGATTGTGGTGCATCAAAAACTGCATTTTTCAGAAAACGAGTACAAACTAGATCACATTCCAAAATCTAGAAGATTATGTTGAATTTGACCCAATAAGGATGACCTTGTAAAAAAATCCATAGTCGAGGAAGGTGGTTGTAATTATCCAAACATGATGGTTTTTTTTTTTTTTATTATTATTATTATTTTTTTTTTTTTATAATTTGAACATATCTTAGGGTTAGGGGTAGTTGTAATTTACCCTATAACTAATTGTGTGCTACAAAAATGCATTACATCGAAAAATGTGCTGATATTAAACATGGAGTTATTAATTTGGTAAATCAAGATTATATATCTATGTGGAACTAGTTTGAGGTTATGAAGAAATCATTTTTGGTGGAAGAACACACCTTGGCCGTTATAATAGCATGGAAGGCATGGGAGAATCGAAACAAGAAAGCTACAGGCGAGCAAGCTCTTCAACCGTCCGAGATATTGAGTTGGTGTAAGAATTATATTGGTACTTTCAATAATGCCCAACTTTGTCCTAGTGCTGGACTGCGAGATGTGCATCCGAGTTTGTGTAAGCCACCCCCCGTCGGTGCGGTGAAACTCAACTTTGATGCAGGCTTTCCGATGGACAAGAATTTCTTTTCCGCAGCAGCTGTTGCTCGGGATTGTGCAGAGAATTGTTTGGGATGGAAAGTGGAGAAGATCCCTGATAAATTGAGGCCGGTGGAGGGTGAAGCCGTTGCGGCATTGAAAGCAATATACTTGGCGAAGGGAAGGGGCTGGCGGGATATTGTTCTTGAGGGAGATTGCATTCAACTTATACAGGCATTGGGCAACAATAGACAGTGAAGGAATAATCATACGAAGCGATCGTGGAAGAATGTATCTCTTTAGAGAATTTTTTTGATTCATGCTCCTGTCAATGTATCAAACGGTCGGACAATTGTTTAGCTCATAATCTTGCTAAGATTCAATGTAATGGTGTTATGGAAGACTTTAATCTCCCATCTGCTTTTAAGCCAGGGCCGGCCCTGGGATGGGGCATGCAACGCCCACGCCCAGGGCCCAAATTCCTAGGGGGCCAATATTTTTATAGTTTTATATATATACAATAATATACTTTCTCTTTTAAATGTAAAAAAATATTTTTCCATTTATAATTTTTAAAACTTATGTTAAAAATATACAAGTTGAAGTCTTTATTTTATTGGAACAATTATTATTGCATACTTATCTAATATTTGCTTTACAAAAAAAAAAATTTTAGATATACATAAATATTTTTGATATTTTATTGACAATGAAGTTTACATTAATAAATATTTATTTATATCATGTTATTAAACATAATATGCCAAAAAAAATAAAATAAAAAATCGGGGCGTAGCCCCAAAATCCCATATTGCTAAAGGTACAATTTATATTTTCGTCCGGGGCCCCCAAATCCACCGGACCGGCCCTGGCTTTAGCATATATCTTTTAATAATATGTTTTTCCTTTCTGAATTTTTTTTTAATAATAATAACACATGGAGTTACTTCTTCTTCTTCTTTTTTTTTTTTTTTTTTTTTTTTTTTTAACAATTTTAACTTTTTATCTCTTCTTTTTTCAGTAATTTGATACAAAATCATATAATACAGGGAAATTGAATGGGAAAAAAATCTAATTTTCTCACTGATTTTAAATCATACAATCGGATGAGTTGACGAAAATCCAAACTCCAAAATCTAATTTTTCACAGATTTTAAAATTTTCAATATTCTGAGTTGACCAAAAGACCAAGTTCAACTATAAAAAAAGAGTTCCACAAAGGGTGAAAAACACCCCATATTTTTCTAATTAATTTCAAAAAAACTGAAATGAAATTCCAATACGATATGATGATCAAATATGTTTTGCAAACTCTCGTAATTTGTGCATGTCTTTTTCAACAAGGAAAGGGCTGTTTCCCTTTTCGCCACAACAGCATCCATGTCGTTGTTGCAAACAGTCTTCCTCCGAATTCCGACCCTCTGCTTCTGCACTGCGCGTCTAAAAACGACGATCTCGGGTTTCATACCGTAACAATAAATCAAACGTTTTCATTCTCGTTTTGCGTGATACCTTGGGCGACTTTGTTCTATTGCGATTTCGCATGGGGTTTTAAGCGCGCACACGCCGTTGTTTACGATGTAAATTGGAAGGGCCACTCGCATTGTGGTGGTAGTCATACGTGCTACTGGGAAGCAAGGGGTGATGGTCTTTACCTGACTGGGGTTAAACGTTTCGATTGGCAATAGAATTTTCATATAATTATTATCTTTCAATTTACATAATAAAATTACTTGTATTTGATCATCCATTTACGTACTTGCTCTGTTCCACAATAACTGTCTCTTTTTAAAACTATTTTTGTTCCATATTATCTGTTACTTTACATTTCCAATACTGCATTAATTGTGCAATTATCAATTTTACCCTTATTAACTATCTCCAACACTCTCTCACATTAAGTATTGACAAGGGCATTTTAGTATAAAAACATATATTTTTCTAAAATTAAGCAACAATTATTGAGATCCTTAATCCTTATGCACAAGCTAAAAACGACAATTATATAGAAACGAAAGGAGTATTTATCATAATGAATGTATTATTATACATTTATTTCTCCATTGTTGGATATAATCCAAGAAACTGAGCGATATAGTATTAATTTGAATAAGATTATATTGTATTAATTTTCGTACTAGCTAATTAATTAGTTAGTTTCTATTACGAGGAAAAACCTTGATTTTCTCGGTACATGAAATACATCTCGTAAACTTTTATCATTCAGGTATACACATACAAACACACACACACACATATATATACATATCTGTATTGGTGTGTGTAGACCAACGATTAAAATCCATCCAGTGTAACTTTCGTCGAATGCAACGTAATAATGTAGCCAGCAGATTGACTCCAATCAAGGAGTTGATTACAACTACAAGATTTGATGAGGAAAAAGAAACATACACACACACACACACACACATATATATATATATATATATATATATATATATATATATATATATATATATTGTTAGAATCTATTTGGATTCTAATAAACAAGGAATGAATAAAAACTTGTGCAACAAGTTCTTATTTTCCGTGAAACTAAAAGGGAAGTCTCCTTGTTTACTTTAATTCTTTAATTTGTCATTAATTGTTTATTATTTATTATGGCAAAACTGTATACATATATGTGATAAATAGTAAAATTCTAAAGTAAAAGAACTAATTACACTTTACTCATTATAGTTTGGGTAAAGTTCGTTTTGTACCTATGTAGTATGCAAAATGTATTTTGTAGAAGGGGAAATTTGCTAGACACACCTTATTCTGAACTTATAGAGGTGGATATCCTAATTGTTAGATGAATATAGGTCTAGGTCATTTGACAAAAAAAAAAATATATAAATAAAATAAAATAATTAGTACATTTACATATAACACCCTTAATTAAAAAGAAAGTAAATCCCATATATTACTCTCCCTTTCTCTTCAATCTCACGTATCTCTCTATATATCTAATCTCTCACCTCTCTCTTCCTCTCTATCTTGTATCTCGCTCTCCATCGTGCCTTTTTTTTTTATTCCAACTCTTCTTTTCTGTTTTATTTTTTGTTTCCTATAGCATCTTTTCGAAAAGAAATTCTGATCAATTTCTTACTCTCTTCCCTTTCTCGATTCCGATTTCTTTTCTTTCTTTTTGAATCCTGCCATAGCTAGAACCTTCAACAAACTATAACCATATATTTTTCGTTTGTTTTTTGGTTGTGGGACATTTTGTTGTTCTTTGTTTGGAAAAATCGTTTGCTACTTTAGAAACCTTGTTTGTTTTTTTTATTTAGTTTCTACTTCTCTAGTTATTACGATGGAAAGCAATTCAGGAGATTCTCGCCTCGATCTTGGGTGATGTTTCTACGGGAATTGATCCACGAGATTTTGATGCACCTCTTCACCCGCGTTCGAAATCCACCTTCTGCTTCGTCCCCAACAATATCTCCGTCTCGTTCTCTACCATCCTCGCCGAGGGCTTTGACGGGTTGCACTCAATTGATTGGGTTCATTGCGGCGATGGCGGCCATAGGATTTTTGACGGAGTTAGGACTGGCGGCAAGGGATTTGGGTGAGTACCTCGTTTTTTTTCTTCGTTGTTTTCATTTTGCATTTTGCAATTCATGTTACACATTGTTTCTCGTTTTGAATTTTTCCTCAGTTTGATGTTTGTATTTGGAGAAGTCATAGGTAATATTTTTTTTGCAACTCAATAATACAAATTATGGATTATTTTTTTCCAGTTTGCTGTTTTTCGGCTGAATCAATGGTATTTTGTTGTTTGCAATTCAATAATACAAATTCTAATATTCAGTTTGCTATTTGCAGTTCACGAAGTCATGGCGTCATTTGCTATTTGCAGTTCACGGAGTCATAGGCGTCAGTTTGCTATTCGCAGTTCACGATAGACAGTGGCACAGTGGTGGTGTCGTTTTTAGAGTATGAATTTGTACAATAGATAGTATATTTTTTTTTTACTAATTTCTTTATATTTTTTTATTAATATTTGCAAGAGATATGTTTGAGAATTTGTTTTGATAGAGATATTTTTAGGGGATTTGATTTGATTTGATTTGACTAAGGGTATTTTTGACACAATAAATATTATTAATTTATTAAAATATGAAGATTTTGACTTGAATTTATACACATAAATTATAAGATAGAAGGACATATAGCAAATTGCCCCTTTGTAGAAAACATTAGTCAAACCCTTTGACCAACTGTTGGAAAGAGTTTTTCTCCACTAATTTGATATAAGTACGAATGGCAAATAGGCCCATCATATAGAACTTAAATGCACATTGGTCCACAAAAAAAAACAGTATTTCAAATAAACCATCCCCATGTCTTTATTCTAAAATACCCTCCATAGTATAATTCTTATCAATTCCATCCATTGTGCTCTAACTTTCTTAATATTACACATTGACCCTGGATTTAAACAAATATATCACATTAACCCCCAAAAATAATATTTTTTTGAAAAAAAAATTTCCGGCCAGATTCTGGCGTTGACTTTTTTTTTTCTTGAAAACTTTTTTTTTTTCTGAATTTTTTTTTCGGCCGGTCAACCACTGTTGACCGCCGGTCTCCGGCTTTGACTTTTTTTTTCTTTTTCTTTTTTCGAATTTTTTTTCTTAGAAAAAAATATTTTAATTAATATTACTGTCTTGGCTACTAAATTACTGTCTCGGACAGTAATATTACTGTTTGGGACAGTAATATTATGAATATTATTTTTCCGAACAGTAATATTATTAGTATTACTGTCTGAGATAGTTAAATTACTGTTAGAGACAGTAATTTAGCAACCAAGACAGTAATATTAATTAAAATAATCTTTTTAAGAAAAAAAATTCAAAAAAAAAAGTCAATTAACAGTTAAATTACTGTCTCCGACAGTTCAATAACTGCTGGAGACAGTAATTTAGCAGCCAAGACAGTAATATTAGTTAAAAATATTTTTTTTAAGAAGAAAATGTCAATTAATAGTTAAATTACAATCTTCGACAGTTAAATAACTGCTGGAGACAGTAATTTAACAACAAATACAGTAATATTAATGAAAATATTTAAAAAAAAAGTAAATTAAGAGTTAAATTACTATCTCCAACAGTTAAATAACTGCTGGAGCTGGAGACAGTAAGTTAGCAGCCAAGACAGTAATATTAATTAAAATATTTTTGAAGAAAAAAAAGTAAATTAACAGTTAGATTACTGTCTCCGACAGTTAAATAACTGTTGGAGACAATAAT